TTGACGAGGGGAAACCCAACACATGGTTACCGGTGTTCTGTGAAATGTAGTCATTATTTAGAGCAGCGGATTCACCCACATTCGTGTCAGAATGAATGCACCTGGCCGAAATACAGCGAGAATACCACAAAACTGGAGCATAAGTCGTGAGAGAGTATTCTTGCCATAAAGTATCCAAACGAAGTGTAGACAGAGATAAATTCTTCACAACAAAAGGATGATACCAGTTTAAAGGGTTGACGAGCGGAAACCCGACCTACTGCGGTCAGTGTTGTACGAAATGTAGTCATCAGTTAGAGCAGCGAAGTTATCGCCATTCGCGACCAAGTAAATGCAATCAGCTAGACGTGGTGACATGTCTTAGCGCGTTCAATTTAAACGTCCGATCAAACTGGTACTCAACGTACCGCTCATCCGCTGACTAAATCGGAATTCCCAGATCACTGAACTTGCGTGCTCCGTCCCGTCACAACATCCGCCCCAGTGAAAGTGGTCAGGCAAACTGGAAATGGTGGAAGACTGAAATGCTATCTTGCATGTAGCATGTAGCGGCGTATTCGGGCCACTTCTCCGAGATGAACAGATGGAAGGGAGTCCAAGCACAAGAACAGTATTCCGGACACCAAATCGATGGTCTAACTGGAGCTGGATCGTACTGCGTTGTGAGTTGACGAAGATCCCGAGTTAAATGTTGTGTAGTTGTAGCTGGGGACCCAAGTTAGCACAAGTAAACCATCCTTGTGACATTGTCCGTTAAATTGTGCAGGTGAGCGCATGTTGAACAAACCAAACACAACAAAGTGATATTCAACACAAAACCACTGCTGTCACCGCCAATGTAACACACATGGAGAGTAAAAATGATCACAGAGACAGGATTTTGTCAAAAGTGCACACACACTGAAAAGTTTCATGTTATGCTTGTGAGTCGTTGCGAGAATTAGCACGGATAATAAAACGTTGATGAGGACCAGAAGGATCAAAGATGTAGTAAGAAGTATAATAAAAAGGCGAACTCCAGCGAGAAAACAGAGTCCAGACTGCTGTTAAGCTTGCAAAGATGGCAATTTGATAAGCACATGACGTTCGGATTCCTCCGTGTCCAGTCGTGAGATCTAAAACCTACAACTGAATCTTGCCTGAAATGTTGATCATCTCGCTGTAACTCCAATGCCATAATCAAAGACATGAGGCAAGCAATGAACGAGTGGGTGCATCAGCCCAAACAAAACAAACAATCGTACGAAAACAGGGTGAATTCTGACAGTCCATGAGTAACGAAGAAAATGAATCCGGCTCTTCGCTTCACAACTCATTGAAAATACAGTATGGTCAAATTAGTCAGGGCGAAAGCCATAGAAAACTAAAACATCCGGAGCTGTTGAGGACACTACGATTTCAAGGGGTCTGGGATGAGTTTAAGTTTCCGAAATAGGTGACTACGCGGGACAGACAAAAAGGAAGTTCCCTAGGAAACATAGGGACAGTGATAAAGAACAAGGAGGAACGTAAGCCATGTAGAAAACCATGTTATGCCTAATTGATTAGATATTCCGAGAATAAGAAACTTATCGTCTCATTTTAACTATTCGCTGTTGTTCCAGACAGTTAGATGTTGATATAACAACAGGTAACCAGCATGTGAAGGGGTACTCGACATGTGAAGGGTACTCGACAGTGTAGATTCCTCCATCTTCTCCCGGGTGCTGTACGCCTACGTACATTCTAAGTCGAATAAGCTACCCAGGAATGGCAACGCTGGTTAGAGCGCGACCTCGCTGCGCTCAAACGATGCTGGGCAACGAAGATTGTTAAGGGCTTGCGGCACCTCCAGCATCCGAACAACTGCAGAGACTCTGATTACCCAGTGGACGCTACGGGGAGACCTCATAATGATATACCAAATACTGCGTGATCGCAGTCATGTAAGCGGACACCTATAACGGGGAGCACAATGTACATCCTTGTGCACATTAATTAAAACAAACTACGATTGTGTCTCTTTTTCTATGAATATCATGTTTTATACATGAAAGCTGCCGTGTTGCATTTATATTTTTATTTTATTTTGGGAATAGATATTTCATCATTGTTTGTGAATCAGACGATGTAATAACTGCGCATGTCTAGTCGTTACATCACCCAAGATTGCATCATACTTTTTATGGTTAGTAAGGTTTTTGTTTCAACTTCTTGTTTTTTGTGATTCAGTCATTGTTTGAGATGGACGTGACTCCCAGAAAGCGCATGAAGATCGTGACCTTGCACGAACACACAGACAAGACCTACAGGGACATAGCAAGAAGAGTAGGCGTCAGTCCGGCAACCGTCAGCCGTGTGGTCAAAATGAAAAAGGAAACGGGATGCATTTCGCCAAAACGCAAAGGGAAATGTGGTCCTAAGAAGAAAACCACTGCCAGGGATGACGCTTACCTTATACGGAAAAGTGTTAAAGATCCTCGAAAGACTAGTGACGCATTAAAACGTGATTTGGGGGGAAAGGAATAGAAATCAGTTCTTCAACGGTTCGCAGGCGACTCCTGGAAGTTGGTCGGAAAGCCAGACGGCCTGTGAAAAAAACTTCTGACAAAATTAATGAAAGTTAAGCGTTACAAATGGGGACTAAAATACAAAAACTGGACAAAAGAAGATTGGAGAAAAGTCCTATTCAGCGATGAAAGCCATTTCTATGTTCATGGTCAGAGAAGTCAGTATGTTCGGAGGTCAGAGGGAGAAAAGGTTTGTGATTCCCACATTGACCACTTTGTGAAACACCCACAAAAGCAGATGTTTTGGGGGTGCTTTAGTTATTACGGCGTCGGCGCCTTGCATCCAGTCCAGGGCATGATGCGCTCTCCACAATATATAGAAGCTCCCCAAAGAAGAGCTGTTCCAGAACTAAAAAAGACATTTCCTGACTGATCTGGCCCCGTGCCACATCAAAAATGGTCAAGACTTTTTTCAATACTAATCAGATAACCATCTTGGACTGGCCTGGGAATTCACCAGATTTAAACCCCATTGAAAATATGTGGTCTATTTGCAAGCAACGCCTTCGTGGCATGGACTGTACGACAAAGAAGAAACTTAATTAAGCTTTAATTCAAGTTTGGTACGGGGACCCAAGATAGGATAAAGTTTGTTCAAATTAAGTGGATTCCATGCCAAACCGTATTAAAATGCTACTCAGAAGTCGAGGAGGTCATGTTGCGTATTGATGTGAGTATATTAGTGCAATTCATTATAACAATTTGAAAAAAAGGTTTTTTTAGTGTTTTCGCAGTTTGTTTCAATTAATGTGCACAAGGATGTAGTGTACCGCCTGTTAGTGGCTCCAGCATTTGTAACCTTGTCAGGTTTCTGTGTTCCTCAATTGTTCCCCACCTGGATTTCCCGCTGACAATGGATTCCAACCACCAAGTGTTTAGAAGCAGCGTTTAAATGCATCTCTTGACTACCTCGTGTTTCATTCTGGCCTTGTACCACTTTATCGTACCCCGTACTGATATGGGTTCAGTTCACCCTGACTATAGGCACCGCAATCCTGTGCTTTGTTCTCATGCAGGTAGGGAATCACAAGTATCGATTGCGTAGTGTTTTCATTCATATGATGAGAAACAGTTCCCGTACTTTACGGACCCTATCTGACTTTCCACATTCATTATAAGTGATGTTTGTTAAACAATGCACAATCGGCCGCGTCCCGTTGCCTGGCCAACGATCACCCCATGCTCACTGCGATCAGCCCTGCATATTTCAGTGGTCAGGCCAGGTGTCAACTCGTCCTATTGCTCTATCATCGCCTCATGCTAAGTACGTCCATTCGGCCGTGCATGTGCTCCCCGGTCGTCATATCGAATTCGCATGCGTTGGTGCAACATAACTGTCCACGACCAACTGGACGAGGCAAGTTACGGACTTTGGTATTCGATGGCAACAACCTGCGTTACGCACAGGAGACACAACTGTCGTGAAATCCTTGCTATGCCGCAAGGGTCGTGTGTGATGGAGGAAACACGGAAACAGTAAATTCCCCATCCTTGCTACTTGGAGATGTCTGCGTTTTTGGATGCATCATCTCGTTAGAACGAGATGACACAGTAGCACAATCCCCAAGGTGCGCGCGTAGCGTAGCGGTGCGTGCATGGGGTGCCACGTAGTGGCAACCATAGGACTGCAAGAAATGTGGGCAATAAAAAAATAAGTTACATCTATTGTACGACATAAAATACGACTAAGTCAGGTATTTTCCAAAAAACGGCTGATATCTCTGCAAATGAGGTTAGTTGCTACTTTAAGTGAGGTCTAATGAAAGAGGTCGTATTTGGCTGTTATTTCGAATTGCAACCATGGAGGCTGACTTCAGGAGCATCTTTCTTGGACATTCGTTTCATAGCTTTGATGAATTCTATTCGCTGTTTACCTCATTTATGCATCGGAACAACGTCAATTTTGTTTGTCGTAGTAGCAAAAGAAGCAAGTATCATAGCGTGAGGTATGATCGCATCGTTTATAAATGCGTGCGCTGTAAGCGTCGCAAAACAAGGAGCGAAGGAATACGGCGAGTCCAGTATGTGGTTTATAATGTTGTTAACCGTTTAATTCAGTTCTAGAGACACCGATTGCAGTGCTCGTGTCAATGTTGCTCGGGATGGCCGTAACCTAGTGCTAACGTTCCAACTCGCCCACAACCATCCATTCAACCGAAAGGCACCCTCTAAACCGGCAACTTACTGAGGAGGAATGCAATCAAGCTGCTGACTTATTTCGATACAACACCCCTACGTCCCTGGTAGCACAATCGTACCAGTAAACGTAGCAAACTGGACATAAACTGCACTGATGTCCCGTTCAGGTATTAATGCAGTTCTTGCAGCAAAATGCATTCAGTTTGACATTTGTTAATAAATAAATGGTTGGTATGCATTATAATTGCTATTAATTGACCATAACCCCAGTGGTTTAAATGCATCGGTAGGTCATGTTATTTGCAGAGTTTCGGTTTCGTAACTTTGGTCGCTGATACTGCTTCGTTCTGCGCTATTGTCTAGCTTCCTTGAAACTGCGTTTCCGCAGGTGTACCTATCAGGTTTTTCGGTTAAACCTTGTTTGATACGTAGGTGTTCCTTTTCAGCATGTCACGTCGACGAAGTTATCAATTAACTGCACAGTTTCCGTCTCGTAGCACCATTTACCGTGCAGCGAAAAGAATGACATCAGGATTCAGCTACGAAGAGGTGCTTCTGTTGTCAGAAGCTAAACGACAGAAGGGTAAGAGCATCTTTAACATATCTTAAATATGATTGCTTACACAGTTCAGCCACCTGCACACGTTATCAACCGCAGTGAAGATGACAGGGACCCCGATGAATTGGTACATAACTTGAGAAAATTGATCGCAAAATCTCAAGTACCAGCGTCTTTTGTTCGTCCACTGTTGTGCCTTGTGCAGCCGTGGATGCCATTTTTGCCAAAGGATTACAGGACGCTGATGCGCACTCCACGGACCTCCCGCATTCGCGTTGTTTCACCGGGAACTTACGGTCACGTAGGTCTGCTGAGAGGTTTACAGCGTGCATGCTCTGCTATTTCGCTCGCCGCTGATGACACTGTTGACTATCAGTTGCATATTGACGGGTTTAAACCTTTTAATGCATCCAAGATGCATGTATGGCCAATCTTGTGCCGTGTCATAAAGCCAGTGATCACGAAGCCATTCATTGTTGGTGTTTATGGTGGGACCTCGAAGCCGAATGACGTGGACGATTACTTGTACGACGCAATTAATGAGATACGTACTTTGTAACGCCAAGGATTATTCAACCTTAAAGCCGTTATCTGTGATACCCCTGCACGCGCTTATGTGAAAAGAAAAAAAGAACATTCGGGTTATTACAGCTGTGACAAATGCACCCAACGTGGTGAGTATATGAGCCGCAAGGTAACATACCCACTTACGGATAGCACACTACGGACTAATGCATCCGTTCGAAGGAATGATAGCCAACCGTCGCCTTTTGCTGCTTTGAATGTCGATTTGGTTGAGGACTTTCCAATTGACTATATGCATTCAGTATGTTTGGGTGTTATGCGCAGAATGATAAAAAACTGGCTCACTTCGCCCGTGGACAGTGGATTTCGACTGCGCAGAGAGCGATTGATTTTAGCAAACGAACGGTTGCATGACTTCGGGCCTTCCTGGACATCGGACGTTCCACGTAAGCTTCGATCACTGGATGAATACCGATCTTGGAAGGCAACTGAGTTGCGTCAGTTTTTGCTCTACGCCGGACCAGCTTGTTTAATTGGGGTATTGCCTGATGCTTTCTATCAAAACTTTCTAGATCTCTCATTTGCTATTTATATCATGTGCCACCCTCACCTTCACACTGCCTTATTTGTATTCCTTGTTCCTTTAATTCATGTATTTTTATATGATTACTTTGATCTTTATTGTCCCAGTGAGATGACGTAAAACGTACACGCACTGGTTCATCTGCCCGCTGACGTACGAAAGATGGGGACGTTAGACAGCTTCTCAGCATTTCCCTTCGAGTCTCACTTGTTTTCCATCAAGCGCATGATTCACAATTCCCCGCGTCCGGTTGCTCAAATCATGCGGCGTACGTCGGAAGAGGAACAGCTTCCTCCTACTTCCAGCAACGCAAGCACGGTTGGGAATGTAGAGATGTGCACATATAAGGGTCAGAAGGCGTTTTGTTTGCACGGCATTTTGTTTTCCACTGTGAAGCCGGATAACGTGGTCATCATCGATGCCAAACCCAGAGTACTGACAGATGTGTCTGTGAATGTGTCCGGGAACATTGTCGTGCAATGCCGGGAATTTATGAATCTCCGTAGTCTGTTCACGCATAGCATGGATTCCTCAACGGCGTACATCTTCCGTGCATCGCAATTGTCAACTGAGGTATGTAGCTTCTCTGTCTGTCATATTCTATTTAAGTGCATTGCTTTACCCTTGAACGATTTCCTTGTAATTTACCCTATGCCACACAGTTATACACTTTAACTACTAACGTCTTTCTTTTTCAGCAATGATGGCTTTTCAAGGATATAGCGTTGTCAAACTCATTGACTCCGAGGATTTAATAACTATTGTCAGTAACACTTGGCTTAGAGAAGAAGGTTCGTACGCTCAAATACCTTCAGTGCGGGGTACGCACTACTATGCAGCGGTGAAAAATCACACTGCGCCGGATGTCGATGTGGTCAGCACTGCCGTGTCCATAATCGTTAGCACGAGTAAGTATTTCTCTTATATTAACCCACCTCGTTAGTTAGCTTCCAGCATGCCCGAGAAATGGAACGGCAATCTGAGCGCGGGATGCTGCCATCGACAGACGATACAATTCCCATGGGCCTTCCAGCTAAGCGTGCAATGTGAGTATGGTGTTTTTTATTTCCCCTTAGACGCCGGCCCGTCCGTTCTAGCTCCGATGACGAGGATGCCGCGCGTCCCAGCAAACCCAAAAGGCCTTCTGCAGCAACATACGCACGTGCGCCCTCCTCTCTGTTCACTGGCATTAGTCCATCACGTCCAGGGCCATCAACAAGCAACCGTAAGTATCGATTTCATACTGCCCCTATTAAACAGTAATCGCGCCCCCGGTTATTGCTGACGTCTCACCATGCAATCTGGATGTGCCATAAAATGTAAGACGCCACAGATGTATTGCATTGCACCCAGCCTTATTTTTAGATGAGTTGTGTCTCATTCGATCAGAATTGGTTGGCCATCGCCGCATGTCCGTAGCGATGTTGCAAATGCTACAACGACAATCCCAAAGTGTTGCGCCGGGACTATCTCTGCCATTCATCTCTCTCAGTGAGCTAAAGAGATATGATGAACGGCTGAAGGACCCCGATTTCAAAATCAGAGTCGTAAGTTCGTCTTATTATTCAACTACTTTAGGTCAACCATTTATGTGCTGTGCACGGTGATAACGTGCAACTCATCGTCCGGGGTACCATGGAGCGGCTAATGACAAGATCAGTTGCCGCGGAGATAAATTACTCCGGCGCTAGAGGTTCGTTTGCATTCAGGCGAACAAATATGAACGGCCTTGTACAAGGTAGGTTGAAATGCAGTAATCCATAAAAACTACCAAGGCATCATTCGACAACGCATGGGTGATGCAGCCTCGGATGCTGACATTACACGGCACATCAAAACGTGGTTGCATTCTGCACGGCACAAAAGACCGCCGGTTGAGCAAACTAAAGTATGCAGTGCGAATGAGGTGAGTCCCCTGCTTCCTTAGGCACATCTTTAGCCTCCTACGTTGACACTCGCGGAAGCGGATTAACAATATTGACTATGCCGCTTTCTGCTACTAACGTTCTTTGTATTGCACCCCTTCATGTATATATAGCATTCCTATACCTCGGTTTTAATTTTCTTTCGCCTTGTGATGTCAGGTGCGCGGTAAGAGCCGTTTCCTTTTCTGACCAACAGCTTTGAGTCGCCGCCTAGGTGGGTTCCCAAGTCCAGCAACTACCGCAACAGGTACCGGGTGAACGCTAGGTCCGAGCCGTCCATATATTCGTTAGGCGCATAGTGCGTTCTAGTGTGGTGTCCGTATTCGGATACCCATGGGAGGCAATGACGGGATCTGGACCAACCGGATTGTCACGCATAGTGGTGAATTTCTATTGGTCAACGCTAGCATCATCTTCATTGGTCCAACGTAAACTGGACAGGAACCCTTTTTAGCCGTCTCACGGTAATACTTCCTGTCCAGTTTAGCCTAATGCTCTCATAGGAACGTTTAGGATGCTAAACTGGACAGGACCTGGACATGTGCTACCAGGGGTGTGACATAAAGCAATACAACGAGAATGCATTCGAGAAACACGTCACAAGCGACGACGTCCGTAATGTACGCCGCAGGGTGCGTTCGCCCGTGTCATGTAGGTGAAATGTCACGTTATTATTGCTAGTCAATTTGCGGCAGGCCCTACAGAGCATGGAACAGAATGGTTTCGTGAAAACCATTTCTGAAAAAGGCTTACTTACGCATGTGTGCTTTGCTCGTAATCAGCAAGTTCAAATGTTTCGGCGATTTCCACACGTTGTGTGCGTGGATGCAACGCATGGTACAAACCGCCTTGGGTACGTATGACATTCGTCGTTATATTTCGCTGCAGTTTCAAGTTGTACCAGTTCTTGGTAACAGACGGCATGGGTTAGGGACGACCAGTTTTTTATGGGTTTGTGCGTAAGGAAACATTCAAATCGTTAGTGAAATTATTTGGTTTATTTCGTGATGCAATGGGCCATGACTTCTCCGTACGAACTTTCGTTATGGCTAAAATGGCTGCTCAAATGCGCTCAGCACAAGCAGTATTCCAGTGTGACATTCTGCGAGGTCGTTCGAAAGCAGGTGAGTTAAGCGAATTGTTTTATTCCGTTCTGTAGACTAATAGTTTCCGCTCACGTTATTCATTTCACCGGATGGCTACAATGGATGCGGAGACCGAGTATGCTACTTTTACGACATTCACACTGTTCTAGGTTCCAGCAGGATCTTAGCCTACTTCAGAAGACGGATCCTCAGTTTGTACGGGATCTAACATCCCACTGGATGTTCATCAAGCGGTCGTGGGCGAACTACGCTCAAACGGGATTGGTGCATTTTGGGAACACCACGAACAACCGTGTCGAGAATGCCAATCTTAGATTGAAGAAAATAACCCATGCTTCCGACCGCCTTGCTGTGGCTGTGAGTAAAGTGTGGAAGCTGTCTGAGGTTCTACTGAAAGAATTTCAGATGCGGTGTACATACTTCTGTGACAGACACCAGGTGTTTGAAGATGAAGGTAACGCCTACGTGCAGATGCTGATAGGCCGTCTAACAACGTACGCTGGCACCCTGGTTATGCGTCATCTGGCAACACCGAAGTTCGGTGCGGTGTACTCAGACATTGGAACGGGACTGGTATGCCATCTTGTATGTTTCTACTTCCACAGTTTGTTGTTCAAGATCAACACCATCGATATGACATCGACTGCGCAAATGGCACATGCACTTGCACATTTTACGGGCACATGTGGCTCCCGTGCGTCCATTTACTTATGTTATATAAGGAGAATCAACATCCCGCGGGTAAAACCGCGAAATTTTTCATTCCCTTTTTACAAAACATACCCATCCGTAGTCGATGATTAACGAAGTACAACATGCCAGAGGATTCCATGTTGCTTCAGACTCTGAAGGTAGCCACCTTAAGGCAGCCCAATTTCAACGTAGCAAAACTGCTTGCACGGCTTCAGTGCCTGGAAGACGTGAACCCCAGTGCGGTATCCGGGTTCATCGATAGCCTCATTAAACAAACAGATGAGCTTATAGACGTAGCACCAGGTGCGCCCGTTTTAAGGAGCACTTGCATGATCTGCTTGCCAGACAGTAAGTCCTGTGCCATTGTCAATAAACCACTGCAGCCGATGATTACGACTTTGCCTAACTGTTTAAAGGCCAGCCTGTGAGAACGCAAACTTGGCCCTTCTTAGGGCCACCCCCTGTTTCGTTTCCGTGTGCTTCCCCCTTACCAACCCGACGCAATTGCTCGGTTGACGGCATTGATTGGAACATTCGGCAAATGAATCGGACGGTGGCTCTGTAATCCTCGCAGGAATGGCCCAATTGCTGTTTAACTGGGCCTGAAAGCCCATGCATTCCTTGTTCACCATGCTTTCCTTTAGGTACATTACTTTTACCCCACTCCTTAGTGATCCGCTGTGTTGCCGTGACGCAAACGATGTGTCCGGCACATTTGCGTGAGCACTTTGAATGGGTCTGAACGACAACGTTCCCGGAAATGTTATCTGTGACCATACGTTTCTTGACAATTATGTTATCATATGCATGTAAGCATATCCGCATCGTCGCAGTGCTGTTAAACAGCTAGATATGGATATCTCCTGATGGGCATTTTGGTGCTCTTGCACTGAGTTTTTTGGCCCCCCTGTCTGGACGGGTACACGAAGCCTTTGGTGCTATGTACAGATAAGCAGTGATTGGCATTACTAGTAACAGTACAATGATACCTCTACTCTACCGCATCACCGTTGCACGTCTGTGGTGCTATGTACGGATGCTCGGTGACCGATACAAACATGCACCTGCACAAGGTGCATGTGCTCATCTGAATGCATGTTTCATAACTGGCATTGACAGTGCCGTTGCCGAGACCTATGTAGGCTACTGTATCACCCGTGCACTAGGTCCAAGCTGATATGTATAGAGGCTCCGAGACCTACGCCATTGTTGCTAGTGGTAAGAGACCTATCTAGGCTATTGTATCATCAGTGCAACAGGTCTGTGCTGATATGTATATAGGGGCTCCGAAATCTACATTCTTAGTGATAGCGCTGAGACCTATGTACCTTGTGAAGACGTAGTGCTCTCAAACTACCGAATTTCCGTTTCTATCCTGGCCTCTGATTCATCTCCGCGTCATCCCAAATGCCATCCACTAGGCTAGTGATGCCCCATGGCTCGTAACCATCTAACTTAACAACATGTTCATTCCTTCATCACATGCATGAGGTGACTGTGGACTTGCATTGTTATCATTACACTCAACATGTGTGCATAGGTCAGCTTTGCAAAACTAGTGAGGCCCTGCGGACTGCGGTGTGCATTTCCTCTACTCAGTTTACAGTTGTAGTGGCATATCGAAGTCCTGGAAGTATCTCACGGGAGGGTATTGAGTACATTCCTACTGACGCTGCCAATAGGTGTCTATTTAATACCTGGTGACTTTAACCTACCTGAAGTCTGCTACGCTGATCACATTAAGATACGGAGGACACGGGAGCAGCCTCTTGGATAGATCGTACCGGTAAATACCTGCTCAGGAAGTGCTCTAAGTGCTGCCGAACCTACCAAACGTCTCCTAACATAAGCGAAGAAATTCTTCGGATTTTCCGAAGCTCCATCAGCCAATTCCTTTTCGTAAAACAGCCGAGCTTTCCTTAAGTGCTGTTTACACCTATTTCTAGCCTCGCGGTATCTATCATAGGTGCTAATTGATGGAGCCGCACGGTAGGTCCTCCAGCACCTAGAACGCTTCTGGAGCAGGTACTTGCCAGTGGTATCTATCCACGGCGGCTGCGCTCGTGTCTCCTTTCTCCTCGCAAGCCGTGTGTAGGGAGTAGACACTTCCGTGAGATAAGACTTAAATTTATCCCAGGCCGCCTGAACCGTAACAACCACCGAGATTTCGCAACGCAACCCAGAAGCCTTGATACGCACTGCCTGATAGTTCGAACGCCATATGTTTGGAAATGGCTTAGCGATGTTCTGGTGACGCCTGGTCAGAGTACACCTGAACGATAAACAAACATGATCACTAGCACCTAATGGAGAGCTGTAAGTGATGTCATTCACGAAGTCTAGTAACTTGTCAAACACTAGATCCAAAATAGACGGGAGTTGGGCGTCCATGTATCTAGTGGGGAGGTCCACGAACTGATGCAACGGTACTTGTAGCGTAAGCTCAAGTAGATCTGCACCGAAAGTACCTTCCGCCGAGTTGCAAGAAAGATCTGCCCAACAAACTTCCCGTAGATTGAAATCCCCCAGTATCAAATACCTGTTTGTGAATTGGGAACGAATAAAGTCAAGCACCTCTTTGGACGCACTCCCAGGGCCTCTATACACAAGTACAACTGTAAGTTGAGCTGAGGAAGTGCTAATCACTACCGACAGAGCTTCGGCAGTTTCATCTGCCGACTGAAACATGTAGGTACGTAAAACGTCAAGTTCACATCTAACGTAAAGTGCAACGCCCCCGCCTTGTCAATGTCAGTGCGTAGTACTGTGGTACCGTGTTGCATCCATTAGCATCATTTAATGAAAGTACTTTATTAAACCTACTTCTCCCACAGTGTAGATCTATTTCATTATCAACCACCACTATTGACTTACCTCCCGTACAGCATCCGAAAACCTGTTTCCCTACGTCCCCTGCTTTGATCAATCAGGGCAGCGGACTTGCTGGCTTTAATTCACCTAATAATGACACTGGAGCAGCCTCTGCTGTATCCATAGCCAGCATACGGAACCACGATTCAGAGGCATCGCAACGATCACACCCACCTGCTTTACCTCAAGACACCGCCTCAACATCGACACACCAAAAGTTAGGAACCTTAGGAACTTCACCAGTATCAGCTACTCCACTCGTACCCTGCATCAAACTTCATCGCCTTGACTCCTCACAGCCTTATACATTGACGCCACAAGAATCCGCGGAACTTCCAGTATCACAACATAGTAGCCCCTCCACTTCGAATGCAGCTCCAAATCATCCAGCTACAGATAGCATCAATTCAGAACTATTCAGCTGCACACTATGTCCGCGACATTTTCGAACTACCAGCGGACTCCAAAGACATCGTGCAGCCCATCTTAGAAATCCAACAGGATTCCTGGTTTCAGCCTCCGTTGTAAATATGTCCCAATTTAAGTGTCTAACCTGTCGGCAAATCTTCCCTACACAGAGAGGGCTGTCACAACATCGTAGACATCGGCATCCTGTAGAATACAACGCCGACTGCCTCGCGCGTCTCCCTAAGCATGCGTATGACTGGACCGCAACGGATGATCGCTTGCTTCTTTCTATGGCCTCACGCTTGGTTTCAACATCATCTTCAAGAGACGCTCTCATGCATGCACTACGAAACGTGTTTCAGCACCGAACCGAAGAGAGTATCCGGAAGCGGTTACAACATCTGGGTTGGAACTATGTGGACCATCGCAACTGTGAGGAATCTTCTATATCAACTCAGCTTATGTCGGATCCTGTACAAATTGAAACAACCCGACACACTAACACCCCTCCATCGCCATTGTTATCTTCCAACTCTGAGGAGTTCCCACGCCTAACTCCTCAATCGATCCAACCTATAAGCACCATTCAAAATGCATACATTGAGCTTTCACCATCCGCCGAAACGAATGCAAACATTGATTTTGACCCACCTCTAGATCTCCCCACTGATACTGTGAATCCCAGAAGTCATGAGGTTGAATCTGATTACACTTCATACAAGAGCGCGCCTTCATCTTCATCCTCGGACCCAACATCATTAATACCAATGTCCGCCAGCCAGTTACCCATACATTTAGTACCATACGTCACGGATAAATCCTCACTAGAAATGTCTGTATCTACGTTTTCAACAATCCTAGATCACTCATCACCTCGTACCGCACCACTCTCTCCCTGCGACAGATCCTCTGCCAACTCAATTTTTCGAAACCTTCTCTCGGCGGCAAACGAACTACTTGCCAACTCTTCCTCCCTTAATAAGAGGGAACACATGTTACTCAGAGAATTAGTATCCGGATACACTTCCGACGGCTCGAGGCTACGTTTTAGTGAGGCGCTTAACGATCTATGCGTTCAGTTGTTCCCCCACCGCTGGAAACCATCGAAAAAGCGACCGCTGACACAAACAATACGTAACAACAAACAACGAAGGAGGCTACAATATGGACATATACAACGTTTATACTATACGCGCCGAAAGGATGCAGCAGCCACTGTCATCGATGGCAGATGGCGCACCGCATTTCTTCGAGAAAACGCATTATGTATTCGGTTCACAACGACGGTTAATTTTCTAACTGTTAGTGCAATTAATCCCTGAGTTCACTGAGTAGCAGAGAGCAGAAGAGAGGTCTTGTGACAGCCCCTTCACTTCTTCGGTATATCTATCTTCGGTATATCTATCTGTGGCTAAACAGCTGGTGTACTACTTTCATTACTTGACATTTCACTGTTACCTGTCACCCTCTATTACCCTTCTAGGTATCATAATATCGCCACAGAAATTTCCAGAATAGCGACCAAAATCTTCTTCTCCATGCGAAAAGGCTCCTACCGATATGCTTCAATGAATCGACAATCATTTTGACTGTCAATAAGCTACTCCGAATCGCCAGAGAATTACCAGCTTAGTGCTTTGTATTCGAATGAAGAAACAATGAATTTGCGTGATTTTTACCCACCAGATAGTAAATCATCGTCCTTCTCATTTAGACAGCGTCGGATTAATAGGAAACAGCTGACCGTAATTTGGGGGCGGTACTGCTGTTTGCTGTACTGGCTGTTGGGGAGGAATATGATGAAATATGTTGTTAAGACTTGATAAGGGTTTAGTAAAGGTATATTGATTTAGGGGAACTGAAAATGGTAGTGCATCTGTTACGGAGAGAAAGCTTAC